AGGAGCTTGGCTCCCCCCACCCTTGTTGCCACACTTTTTTTTTTGTACAGTGTTTCTAACAAAATATAATAGTTTTATGTTTTTGCTTTATTCCTTGCTTCTTTCATTTGATGTAGTGATATCACCTTAAGGTGAGAAAAACTTGTCTTTTGTTACTTATATGTTACTTTCTGCAATGTGTTTGTGTGTTTTCCTTAACCTAATGTAAATATATCCTGTAGTTTAAATGCATGGTAATCGCATGCTGATTTTACATCTAGTCAGAATAAGTGTTAATGACAGAGTGTGCCTAAAAAACTTCCTGAAATCTGAAGAAATTTACTCGTTTCTCATAATCTCATTTACTCTGATATAAATCTAGGGTGATTCATTGAGAAAGAATGGGGTTCTCCTTTATTTCTATTCATGTAATTAAAATGTGAATCCTGCCCTCTGGGTTTATTTTATTATTAGAGTGAATCTGGAGTTGGCAATAATAATATATCCCTGAAATTTTATTTGCCTTAAGCTAAGTATTTTAAAGGCATAGGAAACATGTAAATCTGAAGATTTTTTTTTAACAGATGGGGGTAAAATCAGGCTTATAAATTCTGTATCTGTAGAAACTACAGAAAGAAGGTGCCTTTCCTTGTAACCCCTCCAAAAGTATTAATAGTAATCAACTATTTCCTGCCACAGACATGACTCTGTAGTTGGGGGTGGGAACAAGACTGTTGTTTGTTTTGTTTTGCTTTTTAATAGAAAAAGTAATTTGTTTCTAATTCATTTGGTATGGCAGCTTTTAAACACTCTGACTAAAAAAAAACAAGCTTGATTGTCTACAGGTTATATTTAGGTAGCTAAATGAGGCATGTGTTCCTTTTCTGAAGGTTCCTATTCTTCAGGTACCTAAATATGGGGTTGCTGATTCAGGCAACCACATTTGAAAATTGGCTCCTACATTCCTAGTCTTATATTGCATAATGGAAACATAACCAATCAAAGTCTTTGAAACAACTGATCTGGTCCTAAAGCGCTTACTGATGTGAGTAGGCTGTGCTGTTGATGGATGTACTCTTGTGATTGAAGACTACAGGTTTTGGTCTGACAGAAGATATCCATAGCAGACATTATATACACTAGAAACAAAAGACACAATATATACCTCCATATCCCCACTTACCCCATCTAAACCCATATACACACACATAAAAACATATCTACTATATAGTGTGAAAGTAACAGCTACAGTGTTTAAACTTGTCTGTTTAAAGGTCAGTCACTGAAACTTATATTTAGGCACCTACATAATAACCTGTTCTTTATTCTTGTTTGAAGTGTATATATGACCTGATGTGCATGGCTGTACCTATATATAAATGGATATATGGAATTAGTGTGATGCTTTAGAAAGAGGGACACCATATTCTAATTTTTGTTCTTCATAATTTATCTGTAGTATATGGTTTACATGGTATTACGTGACCTAAAAGTTATAATGCACATATAAGTCCTTGAGTATAAGCCTGAAAATTTATAATACTAATGCCGTTTGTTAGACAGGATCTGTTTTATTTAACATTTCAGTGGTTTCACTGAAGCACGTATTATATCTATAAAAATAGTTCGTAGTGGCGCATGCTATTTCCATTGTGAGAAGTTTAAAGAATCTTCTCTCCCACTTGTATTTAACTATGCTTCTGTAGGACACAAGAAAGTATGTTTTTGCCTCTGTGGTTGCATCTACACGTGCACTTTCCCGTGGAGTTGACTAATTAGTTCCACAGTAAAGTGTCACCATCTACATGTGCATCTGTATTAGGGCACATTAAATTCATTAACTCTACTGTCCTATGGCAGAGTAATATACACTGCCTCAACATGCATATAGATGGTGACTGGGGTTGGATGGGGCACAGGGGTGTTCAGTGTGGGGCTAGCTGGCAGGCAGACCCCGTACTGTAGCATCCTCGTGCTCCAGCCAGCCCCGTCACCTAATGCCACCACCCAAAGCCTGGGGCTGCCCCCTTGAGTCTACTGCCAGCCTGGGGCTGTTTCACCCCAGCTCTAACTGCTGCTGGCCTGGGTGCACATGTATATAGTGTGCCTGGGACCCATTCACTCCAGCATGAACTGCACCAGGTTTATTACTCATGTAGATGCACCCTGTATGTGGTAAATGTAATTTAAATTTTAATTGGATCCTATTCTAAATGAATTCCCCTTCAGCTAATCAAATTAGGGGCAAAATGTACATATGTATTTATGCATCCATCCAGTGTACAGTTTAGTTTATGAAATGCTATATAATTCTTTAGTGAAATAAATGTCTGTACTCCCAGCTTATCAGAATACAGTTTTTTCTTAGTGGTATGGTAAATATTTTGGTGTTGGAAAACAGCACATAAAACTAAAGCATCCATTCCATTAATTATTTAGAATGATAGAAATTAAATAAATGGTATACAAATTTGTCACATGATTAATGTCTTCACCTTAGAAAATAAATATTTTGTTGTCATCTTACCATATTGTGGTGGCAGTGGACATTTATTCTGCAGGTGTAAAGTTCTGTTGCATAAACACTGTAGGCTTGACTCAAACACTCTTGCTCATGGTGAAGAACTCCTTATTTTGCAACTGAAAAAACATTGATTCAATAAAAGTATGTGCACCCAAATCCATTCCTATGAATTTGAAGCACATTATTCTTCAAAATACCTTTCTCAGAAGCAGCACAACTTCTTTAACATTCCTTATCATTCTTTCTTTTCTGCCTGGGAAAGTTGTGTAATATCCTTTATTAGAGGTTTTCAAGAAGAGATTGGATTCTGATGTGCATATTCTTAGGCATCTATTTAAGAAGGTTTAAGGAATAGCAAATTCTGTAGCTATGCATGGGGTAGGCTGAGATGATCCTTGTGGTTCCTTCCAACTTTATGATACTTTGATTTAAAAATCCTTTTGGCTGTGTCCAGACAAACGCAGACAAATGCCATTGCTACTTGTCCCTGGAGAACATCTGTGCCATGCATGCTCTGGTGCATGGTAGATTACCCTGGGTGGTGTGGGGGACTGGGTCCAGTAACTGTGCTGGCTCCAGCAGCCTTACCTGGGGGCCTTCAGGACCTGCAGCTGCAGTACTCTTGCAGCTAGGACTCTGGGCAGTAGTTGAAGTGTGGTTCCAGCTAACCAGGCTCTGATTTTGGTCAGCATGCACTGCCGCCATGTGCACCCACCACTCTGCTTTTTTTTGCTGTGGGTTATTTTGACTCCTGAATCTCCTGGGGTCACAA